TTTAAAAAGTGAACTCGTCATACCACCTCCCCCGTAAGGCCTATAAAGCCACCAGCCATCTTGTACCATTTTAGATTTGATTTATTGCATACAGTAAGGACATTCACATTTTTTACAGGTTTTATATTGCACCCAAAAATGTGTCCGTTTTTTCTTTAAAATTAATGTTGAAACAGAAAGGTTGATATGTGTATATTTTGATTCAATAAACTCTGGTTTTGTATTTTTAAAATGTTATTAATTAAAGTTTTACATGTATGGGTTTGCCTGCCAATCCACGGTGAACTCGCCACACGTATATCACAAGTTGGAGTATGTTGCGAAATCACTTAGGTATGTGACGACTTGTGACGACTTGTGACGAGTTTACTGGAAGCCTCTTCATCTTGTCTGAACTTTTGCAGCAGCAAATAGTCTAACCTGTCCAAAACGTTAGTTCTAGTTTTTGTATTTTTTTTTACGGCACTCGCAACTGCACAACATCATATGAGCCAAGGGGTGGATATCCATCATGTCGTCAACAACTCACCTCTCTAGCCTCAACAGCTCAAGTCTGCTTCAACTATCAAGGCACCCCGGAAGTAGCAGTTCACAAGAGAGTGACAAACAAACAAAAGAAGTAGAGGGAAAATGACGATAGTAAGGATGAGGAAAGAAAAAGCAGCAGTTCCCCCTTGTTGCGGCACAGTATGAGCATGTTATTGATAAATCAACCCAATTCTACTGTGCATAAGAACATGTTAATATCTCCCCTTTGGGAATGGCTTAAAGACGCTTTGAAGCCAGTATAGCACTTGTCCAAAACGGAATTGCTCGTGAGCCAGAAATGAATAGGCCTATGTTTTAGACGTTTTCTGTCTTGGACAGCGAAGAGGAATTTACGGGGAGGGGAGGGGTTTCCAGAGTGCCAGCAGGTATGTACAGCGGTGGGATCATACAATGGTCGCCTGTTGGTCTCTGATAATGGCATCTTTAATCTTACTTTTATCCATTGTCACCAGTGGTTCATAGTTGCATCTCATAGAACCACTGAATGACCAATTAAAAGAGAAATGATTGAACATTTCCATGTTTCCATCCTTAGCACCACCCATTGATGTAAAAATAACTGCCAAGCTTCCCGTGCATGTAACAATGAATCAAGGAACTTTTTTCTTGGCTGACTGTACAATCAGGGTGGCAGGCATAGAGGTCAAATTAATTAAACACGTAAAGCTTTCCAGAAAGATTTGTGTGCTGGAACTCCACTTGAGCACATTCATAATCGATAGTTGTGAGATATCACACCCACACCACTGTGACCATCTGCACAGCTTGGGATCCAGCTTTCAGCATGGGTGGGGTATACAACTACCCCAAGCTACACACCCCTCCCCCCCCCTTCCTCACCTGGCGGCATGGCGTAAAAGTTAGAGTTAGAGCTGATAGAACCAAACTTAAGACAGGTCAAAACCCTCCGAAGGGAAAGAATTTTTCTTTCCTTTTCAGGGTTGAGCAGGTTTTCTTTTTATAGAGGTAATTAATCAAGGGGGAAGTAGGGATATTTCATTAAATCATTATGACAGGTTTCTGTTAAGGCTGGTTCCACTGTATCTGCAGGTACCTCTTCCTTTCTTCCTGTCTGATGTCAGAAGCTGCAGAACCCATGGGGCTGAGACCTTTTTCATGTTCAAATAATCATGAAGACTGTTTTCAATGGACTCGTACCCTGTTTTCATACTAAGCTCTCTTACAATGACTCTTCTATTTTCTGAGTCAGGCCATGTTTTTCATGCTCCTCACATTTTTCTTCAATGATGATGGTCCCACGACACCCTGATCTTATTTGAATGGGATTCAGATTATAATTATTTCCTCATGCCAAGTGTTTACACAAAAGTGATGAGTCTTTCTGAAAGGTAAAAAATACATCCTGCAGCAGAACACCTCCATTGCTTTTTATACTCTGTCACATTTTTAAAATGTACACTGTGTTAAAATGTAAATACCTAGTTTCACAATGAGCTGATATTCTTAAAAATTTCGGGAATACTAATTCAATCAATCTTAAAAACGAAAAAAGCAACAGCAATACGGAAAGTTAATGTAACAGGTTTATTACCGACTTACAAGAGTGTTGGAGTGGTCTACAAAAGTAACACGATCAGTAGCGCGTATGATGTCCTCTTGCATTGATGATGGCCTGACATCGTCGCCGCATGAAATCAGTCAATCACTGTATTGCCTACTGAGGGATGTTATTCCGCCCAAAATGCAATGCTCTCTCAAGTTGAGGAAGTTTCTGACGCTGGTGTTGTCTACTTTGAATGCAGCGATGGAGCAAGTCCCATAGATAGATGCTCAATGGGATTCAAATCTGGTGAGTAGGAAGGCCACAGCTGAAGAACTTAGATGTTGTTTTCATGTAGGAACTGGATGGTTAAACGAGCTCTATGCGCTTGGGCATTGTCATTCATAAAGGTTTGTCCCTGATTTTGAATGGCTGCAACGACGTGTTGCCAAAGAATTTCGTCAATGTATCTGTGTGCTGTCAAATTGCCACGAACAGTCACAAGTGGAGTCTTGTCATCTGCTGTAATTCCTACCCACACCATCACACTTTCATCACTAAAAGCTTTGGCCTGAATTTGGCATTGAGGAACGAACCTCTCATTTGGAATACGCGGAGAACATCTGGTTATTCCATACCTGGTGAGAGGATTCCCTGAAAACAATCTGTGTACCCGAGAGCCTACCACTAGGCGAAGAATGGGAACAGGTGGCCGGAGAATACAGGGACCTCACCAAGGTCAAAATAAACATGGGCAGAGACAGAAGAAATGTTGCGGCTGCCATCAACGAGAGCGATATCAATGAGATTGTTGACACAAACTCAAAAGCAGGGGATCCTATAATTTATACAGATGGTTCAATGAAAAGAGATAGCCAGAGAAGTGGATGGGGATTTGTTGCATTTGCCAACAATAAAATCATACTCATACACAGGGCATCTGGAGCCTGCAGCAGGGCTACATCAAGTATGCGTATGGAAATTGAAGCCATCACGAAAGCACTTGATTGGATGACCCAAGATCGCCCCCACACAACCCATGCTGTTCTTATCACTGATTCCATGTGTACCCTCAGAAGGATCGAAAAAGGTTTCCTGAGAACAGAATGGATTCAAGCTATTGAACCAACGCCTATACGATCGCTCACATGGATTTTCTGCCCTGGCCATGCAGGTATTAAGGGAAATGAAAAAGCCGACAGATTGGCTGGTGAGGCCACCTTAGTTGACAATACGGTTCAACCAGATAGGGTCGAGATCATGAAATGTCTCTCTCGCCAGCTGACTGAGGAGGAGGATAGGGAGGCAGAGGCCAGTACTGCCGTGGAGAGGATGATGCTTTTGGGAATAAAAAAAGGAATCGGAAAATCTGGCATCCTTGCAGGAAAGAACAGAAGAACGTTCAACCAGATGTGCACTGGCACAATCAGTAGAGGGACCCTCGGCAACATTTTGGAGAGAGCAACGGAGCACCAATGGACATGTCCGGAGTGCAGGGATGTTGCTTCCTGAAAGAAGAACAAGAAGAACAAGAACGAGACCAACGTGAATATATTCTTGCCAATCAAGCCTGTTTCTGATGTTGTAGGGCGTCAATCTAATGGGGTGAGCTGGGCTTCTTGCTCGGAGTCCAAATTCCTTCAACAGTCTCAATACAGTTGTTTTTTTTATACTAGGTTGACAGGTCACATGTTGTTGTTCAACTCATCTCTGGTTTGTCTTGCTGTTTTGAAACGATACTGTATGCCGTAGATGCGACAGGGGTATAAAAAGATCCTCTCTTGGAGTAGTGAATAAATTTTCCATGATAGACTGACAGACATACTTGCTTTCTATACATGTACCATACGTGTACTACTGTTGTCATCACTATGTCAGACCCTTAACTTAATAATCAACTAGAGGTATACTCAAAACGTTTTTAAATCAAATTTCTACTATAAGGCCTAAGCTGTGGGGCAATGCAATGATTCTAAAACTCACAGTGATTGAAGATGCTCGTTAGCAATAATGGAATGAACAAAAATTGGTAACTTCTCATTACTAGTTTTTTCTATTCAAGAATCAAAACAGCACTTCCTTTGAAATAATTGACTTTTCATCAACAGTCATAGTTTAGCTGAAAGTACAACCTCAAGATGGACAGACTAGAATTCGTTCTATCATTGAATTTCTGTATCTTGGGGGGAACAATTCATGACAGATTTTTAAGAGTCAGACTGGCAATCAAAGTGAAACATGCACATTGCACAATATTATAATAACAGATTTTGCAAAATAGGTAAGAAAGTAAAAATTTTGTTATTGTTGTCAATGTTTGTGTTTGTAACAATCCTCACCAACTTGAAAAGCAAAATTTCGGGCGTAACTGTGTCAAACCTAATAAGCGTTCACTTAGTCTGTCAGTGATTTCAAAAGGATGTATGTATATATATATTATATATATATATATATATATATATATATATATAATTTTGAACTTGAATGTTACTTTTAGTAAACAGTACTGGTGGAATGACCCATATATATATATATATATATAATTATAATTATAATTGCTGCAAAAAATAAGTTTTCATTTCAATTTAAATTTTATGCTGTCCACATGATCTCAGATTATTTGTGATTGGTGTATACAAACGTAATTATTTTTTACATTTAAAGAATGTTTGTGGATGGAAGACCAGGTCCTTGATATCTTTTCTGCACCATCATTCATGGCTAGAGGAAGCTTGCAGCTCAAGTTTTGTCTGATAAATTTTCATAGTTTAATAATTCTATTAACCGACATAACCATGCAAGACTTCATTATTAGGGAGTAAGTGTGATGAAGTATTTGTTCATAAAAATACATGATTTTTGTCATTTATTCGAGCCTAGAGCCACCAGGGAGTGGGTACTATGAAAGTGAACCTTATTATCATATATCTACATATTTCCCTTTGATTAGGTACTTTGCAAGCATGCCTGTCTACAGCAAAATTGATGATATCATTGTGACAAAAATGGTGTCCTTTTTCCCAAAGAACACTGATGTTCCAAGCCACAATGCTGTGATATTAGTATTTAGCACTAAGAATGGGCTAATGAGAGCGGTAAGTATGAATATGTTCCTTCCGTGTACTTGGCAGAATTTGGCTACTCATGTAACCTCTTAATTTACTTTTTCTTTAGCCATGTCACTTTTCTCTTTTTTAACCCTATCCGTACGCCCTGGAGTCATTTTGTACCCCAGAGGTTGTATTCTTCACATTTTAGAAAACCTCTAGTGCCAAGATCTCTTTGAAACTTTCAGTATTTCTCAAAAAATCATTTTGACAGACTGCTATGCAAAGCGTACACATCGGATTGACGAGTAAATTGCCTCTTTGGAAAGTGGTGGCACAGAGTTCCCCACGTCGTATGGATACGATAGTAAAACATGACATACGGATAGGGTTAAAACTGTTTTTGTTAACTCTGCGTGACCCAAATTTTGTTTCTGCTTTTTGAATAATGCATAATTTATGAGTGTTGAAAAGTTCAGATTAGCTAGTTTGTCATCATAAATAGCTTGAAAATTGCATTTCGACGATGTATCGAAAACTGAGAGAATGTGTTTGTGTTCCACCTGGAATCAAACATTAATTGGTATCCATGTGTTGGTTCAGTTGGTACTTTGGATTTCTGAGTCTCATTCAGCAGGGGAGGAAGACTGGTATCGTCGAATTAGTCTTGTCTTAAAAGGAAACTGATGCTGGGTAAAGTTGCTACATCTGAGTGCTGCAATTATTTATTATGCACAGGGACTTTAAGGGACTGGGTAGCTGTGTTTGGCTCAACACAATTTGTGAAGAGAGCAAAGTGCCCCAGATAAAGCCCTCTTAATTTTCTCATCTATTAACCAAGTCATGCCTCCAAGATCTCATTGGTTATTCGTTTCGTTTTAATAGAATAAAAAGCAGTTGAAGTTTTTTTCAGGTCTTGGTGCCCCAGCGTAACAGCAATTGCTGAAACTGCATGAACCTCAGAGATTCATAATTTGGTCATATTTTTTTAAATTTCTCTTTGGAGTCAGCCATGCATGTCGGTGCATTAGCTTGTTGGACATATTAACTTTCTATTGAGAGCAAAGGGCGGGGGGGGGGGGGGGGGGGGGGGGCTTTGAAACAGGCACATATTTACATTTGTTGGCTCTGCTTCTTTGGAAGTTGTCAATCATTTTAAAAAGATAAAAGTAGTATCCACATTTTCACAAGTCTGGCTTGACTGATCATTGTATTCTCTTTGACAAAACTGCATGGATTGCATTCCTTCTGTGCTTAAGCATGTGTATTCTTTTCATAAACCTGTTCCACCTGTTCCAGTGTGTGGCACAATCAGATATAATGAATTTTTTCCTCTTAACAAAATAGGTGTGATACGATCCACCACATCTATATATTTGAAAACCTGATGTGGTTTTCACTGCTGGCCAAAGTAAAGTATTTTGGAGTTACGTGAAAAAAGTGACGCAAAATCTCTCCTTTCCTGCTCTCTAACCATATTCTTTCATCTACTTTCATCTCCACTTTCTGCCCCCCCCACCCCCCCCTTTTGGACTCCTAACTCTTTCTGCAGCCTTTCTACTGCTACTCCTTGGCTCCTTACTGCTGTCTTTCCTTTCTGCCGCACCCCTGATCTTATGGTAGGTAAGATCGAACACCTAGCATTCTTGTTGAAGGGCGAAAAAAATCTTGGAAGTCCTGTGTCAAGTTGCTCACATTAAAGATTCCTTGTTGGTCCTGAAATCGATAGGAGTAGGCTTCGGCAGCCATCCGTGAAAAATCCAAAATAAATTCCTACCAAACTGAAAATACTTGTCCCACGCACTCATAATCCCATATGACCTTAAGCAGTTGAGAGCACTGTAAAACACTTCCCATTTAAAAAAAAAAAAGAAGAAAGTGCTCATTCCCTTAAAATAATCCCTGAGAAATACATAGAAGCTCTTTTGACTTGTTACAACACTTTGATAATATTGCTTTATTTGTTATAAGCCCCACAGTCAAAATTGTCTGAGATGGCCACCCATTGTCGAGGAGGAAAGTGACTGTCTTACACAATGCCATTATAATAATGTAAAAAATGCACAAAGGGAAAAATGGGAAGTGGACATTTGTACAGGTGATTGTCTTTTACAGGTGGCTGTCAGAGCAGGTTTGACTACATGTAATCATTTGAGTTACCTTTGGTTCTTTTGAATTGTCAAGTAAAAAATATACTTGCAACCATTACTCAATAATCATTCCCGTTACTTTCCTGTTTCTTTACTTTTACTCAGATATCATACTTTCCCCATAGTCTGCTAATCTAACAGAAATATAGATATCTATTTCTAGTTGTTCACTCGATGTGTTTTATTTATGAGGAGTGACGTTGACATATGCATCTGGTTTGAGCTAACAATCTTGATTGCAATGTAAAATACAATATAAACTGCGGAGATATTTCCTTCTGCATCTTGAAAAATAATTTGAACTCCAGATATCATTTGGAAAAATTAATAATAGATTTATAGTGGCTGCAGTTTTGAGTTACATTGGTCGCTTGCGAATAATGCAGCCTTTTCTTTACTTTTTCTCTCAGATCATGGATGGTGATGTCATTACACTGAAGCGCACAGCAGCGGCATCTGCAGTAGCCACAAAAGTAAATTTCATTTGGCAAATATATACATGCATGTGTCACAATGCAGTGGAATAAGGCGCTCGTCAATTTTCAGACACATGGAGTTATTGGTATCGTCTTAAAGCTTGTCCATTTGTCTTGTTGTCAATGAAAAATAACCATCTATCTTGAATAGAAGTTGAGATATTTGCAATTAAAGGAGATGGGGGTCACCTGGTTTCAGAGGTATAATTAGCAAGAAAGTGGCCGTCAAGTTTTGGTGACTTCTAAAGCTTGAGAGTCCTTAGAAACCAGGAATTTACATTTTTGTGCCATTAATCAATTTTTTTCCTTTAAAATCCACGGGGAACGACGTTTTAAAAAAAATGGATATAAAAGGTGTATAGCCAAAAAACAAAATGCAATAAAAAGTGCCAAACAAGGGGTAAATAAAAGGCCGGTTTCGTCGATTTAGATCTAGTTGTTTTGACGAGCGCCTGATTTCACCATGATGTCTTACATATTAGGTCTATAGTTGTGTGTGTACTCACTTGTTAATGATGGGTGCTCATGTGTGGTCTTCTTTGTTTTTTGTTTTTTTGTTGTTTTTTTTTGGGGGGGGGGGGGTTGGTATCATTTTTATACCTGTAAATCTGTTCCCAGTGAAATGTTGCCATTATCAGGCCAACTCACCATATGCTACAGCATGACAAGAAGGTGTTCTCAATAACAGTAAGAGGGCGTTGCAGTTGGGTTTCGACCAATAATGTTTTAGATTTGTAATCAATTTAGTAAACCAATAGAACCTGCTTGAATATGTCTTGTGTGCCATTCCGTTCAAGGACAGATAGAGCACTGAAATGGTCTTAACTTCTCATCCATTGATCAGTTATTGATTAAAGTGATTGGAAATGCCTTCAATAAAATACGAAGGTAAAGCTTTTAGCACATGAAGCATTCTATTGTCGTAAGTAAAATGAAATCGAATCCAATGTGATGTAAGTAATTTTTGTGGTTTTCAAATAAGACTTAAGGTTGTTACTGTTCCTGAATTCAGGACTGGGTTCCTAAACCCAGTGCCAACTACAATTTTATGCTGCTTATTCTTAAAGGGAACAACTGTAGTATGTTATCACTGTTGTCAAAATGTACCCTCTATAAAGCAGGGGCAAACTGAGTAATTCATTCTTCTCAAATTTCTTGCGACAGGGAAGATTTATATTTATATCTCTGAAAGTCAGTTCTGTCTGTATTAGCTGGATGACACTCACCTCCTTTCTTTGTATGTGAAAATGTCTGGAAGAAACACTTATCTATGTGAAAATGTCTGGAAGAAACACTTTTCTGGGTAATTTTTAGCTGCCCCTTTACTAGATGCTTGTCAAAATTTATCCATCCATCTATATGTGAGAGATTTGTAACCTTGATTTAAGACCATGAAAGCATTGAAGGTGTTTTCCAATTTGCCAAGAGGCTTTAGATTTTTTATGATCGGCCTTTGAAATGCTGAATTGCCTGGGTTTTGAAATATGGGTATTTGGGTTTCAGTTTCTGAATAAAATGCCATTACCTTTTGTTCTTTGCGTATTGTATCAAATGCTTTTTAAATGGAAGTGAGGAATAGCGTTTTACATTTGTTATATTATAATCTTTATTTCTATTTTTTCTTTTTAGTATCTGACCAATGGGCAACCACATACTTTAGCCATTCTGGGCTCAGGAAGTCAGGCCCGATCTCATTATGCTGCTATTTCCCACGTCTTCAAATTCCAGCAGGTAATTAACATTTAAGATTGTATCGTGTCTTATTCTCAGCAATATACATATAACACGGTTAGCTAGAATTCGTCGGGATTGGCCTCGGTAGTTCGAAGGATATCTTACAAACATAAAGAAGAGAAAAAGACGGGACTGTAGTCACAGTTCAACGGATGCCTGGTTTTGAGTCTTTTGTGATCAACCTGTCCAGTGTTATACTGTAGCTTATTTCAGAATTTGATTCAGACTTTTCTTTTCATGACATGAACCTAATGTTTTCATACCCCATGCTGAAAGTATATTATTTAGCATTATATTCCTCTCTTTGTTGGCATTGTGGAACTTTCAATTTTCCTCCTTGGCTGAGGACCCAGACACCAGGGCGCTGTCCTGGCTTAAGATCTCTTATACCTTTCTGATGTAAAGGTATGAGTTACCAGCCCTTATAAAAATTAACAGTACTACTGATAATGCTATTTATGTTATGTGTTATGTTACATTCTGTGTTTCTTGAAAATGTTGTGCATTACAATTTGTTACTTTACACTTGACTCAACTAGGAAGCTCTCACGTGCATTGTATTTCAGTGGTGCAGGCAAATAGTATTTTTCTGATTGGGTTGTTTGATGAAGGTCTCTATACCCATGACATTTTTTAAACAAGGGTCATATGTTTCTACCTAAATTAGCTGTATAATTAATTCTAGAGTTTTAACAGCATTTAAAAAATGTATTTCCAGTGTGGGATTTGGTCAGAGGAGATTTAATGTAAACAGGCATAAAGTTAACTGTGTTTTGCACAGTATTTTATAGCCTATATATTTTTTCCCAAATGCAGGTGAACATCTGGAATCATCGATCGGCCGGTGCTGAGGCTCTGGCCAAGGAAATTGGTCCCACAGCCCAGGCATTTGCCAGTGTAGAAGATGCTGTGAGAGATGCTGATGTCATTGTCACAGTGACAAGCTCTGACAAGCCTGTGTTGAAAGCAGAATGGGTCAAACCAGGAGCACATATTAATGGTGAGGACTTGTAGTGTGTGAGAACTTTACAATGCGCTCATTTTTAAGGTGGTTACCCCTGTTTTGGGAGAATATAGAAGGATGGCTGGAGGATGCAAGACTGACAAATGTCATATATTGCTATTGGGCATTTGTCAGAGTCTTACACCCAGATATCGAGACGAAGAAAGAGGTGGTGAACTTGGCGTCAAGGTGTTAAGAAAGAAGCAGAAATAGAAACAATATTGATACTACTAAAGATTGAGGGAAAGGAGAGATGATGAAAGTGGGTATTCTGGAAAGGAAAGAAGGATGTCATACATTACTGAATATTGCACATAAAGATCAGGAGCTCAGAAGCCCAGGTGCTTTATTTCATACTTATGCAGTTATGCATCTTTGTCTATGTGCAGTGGGTTTGTTTTTAATCTCTTCTACCCAATTGGAGGTTGTTTGGATGTGACGATTACAAAACAAGAAAAAGAAAAAAAAGAACAGACCAGATCAAGAAACAAAAACAACTCAACATTTTGTTAATCCTTCTGGCTTGGGAAATTTGTCTCAAACTGGTTCAGGTAGGCTATAATCTTTATTAAAATGGCAATGGGCATATTAGAAGCATTTATTTCCACCTCTTCCCTGGACAGTTGTAGGTAACTAAAATGCAAGAGTCATTGTTGAAAGGTTAATGTGCTTTGATCAAGAGCATACTTCAGAGGTCAGTCGTAATGATACTGTCCTACTTAATGCCACTAGATTTTGTCTGTGGACTTATTGCCATGCTTCTAGATGACAGAACTATTCATCAAATTTTCCGCTCTAATTAGCAATCCATTTTATAACCTGAGATCTGCCCATGCCACTCTAAACAGACTGATGACAGTGCATGCAAGTGATGCCGCCTGAAAAGTAGGGCAAAAGTTCACACTCAGTGTATCATTGTTTGCCTCTTGTGAAGACTTAGACTAGAGAACAGGTGATGTAATAAAAACATTCTTCCTACTTACCAATTAGGCATAAAATCTTGATTGGTTAGGCTCCTCACTGTAGCACATACAAGAGTCGTTCGTTTTCCATACCTGTTTTATCATGTTTCTTCATTGTTCTGCTGGGATACTATGACTCATTCACCATGGGTAACTCTTATAGGAAGGGTTGAATCGCCCAGCTTCCTAAATGATGTACATTTTGTCAATAGGGGCCTTATGAAGGCTTCATGAAGAATGTAACCTCAATAAACATTTCCATATATAGGTTGCATGTAGTATAGCCCCAATAATCCCACCTCCCATCTGAGCGCTCCCCCCCCCCCCCTCCCCCCAAAGAAAAAAAAAGAAGCTTTTTGGGCTAACTTAGTCCATATTGCCAAATATCCCTCTCCTCTAACCCGGAAAGCTTTATTAGGTTTCAACTCTATCTAGATCTAGTCTGCCTTGTCTTAATATGCGTAACTGTCACTGAATAGAATCTACACCTACTGAATAATGAACCGTAAATGTGCATGGCGAAGGAAGTCTTAATACATCTTTTAGATGCAGTAAATCACAGTCTAGAATCATGCATCCATTTTACAGAAGTTTAAGGCTTCTTATATTTTTTTTCTCAGAGTATCTATATTGTTATAATCTATGCACTGATATACTGTCATTGAGCACAGGGACAAAACTTAAATGATAAGAAAGATGCAATAATAGAATCTAGGACTAGATCATCAGAACTGCTGAATACCCACTTGTGAACTACTTTCCCAAACTAGGTTTAATTCTTTCACTAGCTGAATGCAGTGAAATGAGTTGAACAAAGTCTGAACACATCACGTTGATTAATAGATCCAACAAATCACATAGATCTTGAATAATGTATCAATTTAACAGAAATTCTCAGCCATTCAAGTCTGTTTTCCAGAATATCTGTTGTAGTACAGTTTATAATTTATACACTGGTTTACTGTTGTTGAGCACAAAGACAAAAATGAACTTATTAACTCACTTGCGACTGGGCCCTTTCACCAGTCACAAGCGTTGAAGACTGGCGTTTTTGGGGGTATTTCAATAAATCACCACAACTCACAGAATTACCCTATTGTAATTATTTTTTGACACAGTAAAGTAACATTCAAGCTTAATGTAATACAAAAAACTAAAGTTGTCTACGTCTAATACTTTAATTTGTATGATTTTTAAAAAATTGGCATGAATTTGATTTTCCGAAAAATTTCCAGAGACGTGACAAGTAGAATGAAATTCACTACAACAACAAAAATAAAAGTTCAAAGTGTTCTGGTTTGATTTGTATACATGTGCGAGTGTTTGGTGAAAATATAAAAGCTGGTCTGTGCATTGATTCAGACCCATACACTGAATTACATGAGACAGATGTACGGCACGACGTTGTGATTTCGTTGCGCGAAAAACAACACCGGTACTAGTGCTAGATCTAGCCCTAGAACTACGACTCGGGCCGTGTTCGGGTACATATCCAGGATCCTAACTATTAGACACATCATATTCTGAGACACTAGAACTAGTAAAACGTACAGAAATATAGAAAACGGCGAAATTATGTGATTCTTGTTCATGCGACTTCTTCGACTGTTACTACGACGCGACTGTCGGATTACTATCAGCTGTATAGAAAAAAACAAAGCGCGAGTTCCGGTCTGTTCAACCCCAGTTGGGGTCACTGTCCTTCACCTTCAATAACTTAAAAACTACTGGCCCCAGAGATATGAAACGAAGTCTAAGTAGCTCAGGCTTGGCCAAACAAGGGTACGAGGCGGGTCTCGCGATCCGTGCATGATTTGTAGAGCAAAAAAAAAAATTCCAAAGTTGGTCACGTAGGGCTTGTGAGACCCGTCGCGAGCGTTGCGGCGGGGGTCACGCAACTGTTGTGTGAGCCGTCTGAAGTGAGTTAAGAAAGATGCAGGACTGGGAAAGTGATACTAAAACTCTTTAATTCTAGAGATCAACTCTTGTAGCAAGAAACAGGTAGTCAGGTAATCCAAATAATGGGTGTCAGGTATGCATCCCCAAATAAAGACTTCCTATTTACAATAATTACCTTCATAAACTGCAGAGACACCAGTGATAACATGGCAACCAGATTCTCTGTCCATTAAGAAAAACCTTGTTCATTTGCATGCTTACACCACACTTCACATATGTCTTTCCAGCTGTTGGGGCTTGCCGGCCAAACTGGGCAGAGCTGGACCCTCAGCTCATGCAGAACTCTGTTGTGTATGCCGACAGTCGAGAAGGTGCCATGAGTGAGAGCGGAGACGTTATCATGTCGAAAGTAAGTGTTGTAGTCATGTGTACTGGACAGGGAGTTTGTCTTTTTTTTTTTCTCTTTTCCTAGCTAGATTTTAGATATATATTCAGTCACATCCTTTACTTTCCCAAACCAGGTTTTAACTCTTTAACTTTCAGAATGAATCTTACATGATGTAATGTGGAAATAACCCATTATGGGGCTGATCGATTGAGGATATGTCCTGAAAGGGTTAACCCAGATAAAAGCTCCAGACTTTTAAAAGAATTTAAGCAGTGACACAGCCAGTCATCAGTTTTGTGTACAATTTCAATAGTAGTTTCGATTGTTTAACCCTTCACTGTTACAATCTTTTATGGATCTGCCAAGGGGGGAAACGAGTCATATTGTACTGTTGCCACTGAAATTGCCAATTCCTCACTTGTTGGGGATAGTAGATGGAGTCCTGAATTTTCTCAGGATAATAGAAAAAGCCTATTGATGTTACTTTGTGAAATACATGTGGCTAGTGTTAATTAAAAATGTTTCAATCAGTTGGTCATTTTTTAAAACCCATTTTGAGCTAAACTAGATTTCCCGTCATGTTGCCACACCAGCTTTGACGGGCTTTCCCACTGTAGAACCATACTGGCTTTTACCGGCCTGACACACCAGCCTTTAGTGCATGTTTAGAAATACGAACATTAAGCTCTACTTTTAGATGCTGATGTCTTGGGTCCTTGTTGTATGTGAACTTTCATTGAAATATGTTTCTTGGATCAAAAGCAAAAATAATTTCTTTGCTACACCTCCTGAACCTCTGTAAAACACTGAAATAATCTGGTTCTGGGAAGCTATCAGCTGGCCGTCATTTTGGTTCTGCTGTGCTGACCTATTTATGGTGCTAAGAGGGTTAACCCTCAGATTCTATTTTTAGAAATGAATGCCTACTGTGTTGGAAGTGTCTACGTTCTCTAACATTAGAGAACGTATACAAGCTGTCTACGTTCTCTAACGTTCAGTGCTTCCAATTTTCCGCCATTTTTTAAAGTTTCCTCCAGACGTCATCTGCCGATCCGATGCCCGTCGCCTCATTGATATCTCTCCCCCCCCCCCCATGTTTCCGACTTTCTCACTTTCTTTGTTATAGAAGTTGTCAACATCTTGATCTATGTTGTTGCTTTTCCTGGCAAATTTTTTTTGCTTGTTTTTTTTGGGGGGGGGGGGGGGTTTTCTTCTTCTTCTCCTCCTCCCGATTGACCAACAATTTCCCCCAAAGTTATAATTTGATGCTTTGTAATTTCTTAGGTAGTGATGAAGCATGCAAATTCTGGTTTTGTCCCCAAGAGGAGCTTTTATCAACTAAGTATAGGCCTACTTTTCCTTTTACCAATTTACGCCTGGTTAAAGTACATTTTCAACAGTGGCTTTCCTTGGTCTGTGAGTCTAAATTTTTACATTTATTTTAAAATCAGAGAGGCCAAATCTTAGCTCTTCAATTGCAAATTTTCTTTATCCAGGGCCCTCCTGCGGCCCCCAGACCCCTGCCAATTGTTCCTCCTGCCAATTATTATTCGTCCTTGTTGCGGGTCCGGGGGCAAATTGTTGGTCAGTAAGGAGAAGGAGAGGAAAAAAAACAACAACCAAAAAACCCCCCCCAAAGTTTCCGGAACCGGGATTCGATGCCACGCTTGGAAGCACTGAGCATTAGAGAACGTAGACAGCTTGTATACGTCCTTTAACATTAGAGAATGTAGACACTACCCTACTGTGTTTAAAAAAACTTTTGCTATAACCGTTAATGGTAACTGCGTGAGCCTGCCCATTTTAAGAAGTAATCTACTCTGGTTTGCTTAAAAAAATATCCAGTCGTTTATAGCATACAAGTAATGATAGAACTTTCTTATGAGCTGCTCTTGAAATGCTTTGATAAACTATGCTTACATGTGCTGAAAGTAGCTTATCCTTATATCCGTACGCCCTGGGGTAATTGTGTACCCCCGGGGTTGTATTCTTCACATTTTTAGAATACTTCTAGTAGGAAGATCTCTTTGAAACTTTCAGTACTTCTCAACAAATTTTGACAGACTGCCATGGAAAGTGCACGGATCGGATTAACAAGTAAATTTCCTCTTTGGAAAGTGTTGGCACAGAGTTCCCCACGTCGTATAGATACGATAGTAAAACACGATGTACGATAGGGCATTAGGGTTAAAAACTCTAGTTCATAAGCAGAATTATATTCCTCGTGAAATCTTCAAGCGTGACACATGCAGTCTACAAACTTTTGAATTTATGCGTTTGATGTGTAAGCTTCAGTCATGTAGACTGTGTAGAAGACAGTGCCCATATCAATGAAAATTGGGCATTAATGAGTCAGTGATGATAATCTGAAGCAAATCGTTTGACAGGTGTCCTGTATTTGCCTTCTTTATTCTTGGCATGTGTTCTTGTCTTTAAGTTTAAGGGCCCTCTTTTGGTATGAAATCTAAAAGTGACACGATAGACTTCACTAAATTGGTCATTCACTCAAAACAAGTGAACCTGTTTTGATAGTTCTTCTTCTAATAAATGAACTCCAGGTAAAAGAGACCTGTTTTCAGCAATTGCCAAAATGTAATGTGATGTCGAAGTCGTTGTAGAGGAATGTACCAGAGCAACTGGCAGCGTATCAACGGCTCCGATAGAAATAGATCAGCGGTTCCGATAGAAATAGTTCATACTTTTTAAAATACTATTATACTTTACCTTTTACAGTCTAGATTTGCATACAGTACTCCTTATCTACGCTGTTTTAAGGCCATGTTGGCAGCTACTCTGAGATGAAAGCAGTAACCAGGTTATTTCTGACAAGTGGTCTTGTTTTTGTGCCAAAAAGCGATGATTACAAAAAAATTGCTTTCTAAATGTTATGATTCTATTATTATTCACCTATAGGCTGCATTCAACTGAAACTGTACCCAACATTTAGCTCCACACCCTTTATTGTGGTACCCACTTTTCTGCTTGCAGGCTACGATCCATGCTGAAATTGGAGAAATGGTCAACGACCCAACACTTGCGAGGCCTGCTGAGACAACTGTGTTCAAGTCTCTTGGTAAGCTCGTATACAGTATTCATTTGTGGAATTCGTACAACTTTTTAAAAATAGTAATTTTATTCTTGTGGCCAGTGACTGTAACTCTGTAAGATTTTTTTGTCTCGTGTGAGTCTTGTTGATGACCTGCTGGAGGCAAAGAAGTTACTTTTTAGTTATCCCTGAATGACCCATGTTCTTTGGCTCCTTTTGGATTGACTACTAGATTTACACCATTGCATTCTGAAGTGTAAGTTTGTTAAACAAAGCGGTAAAATTAACGCTTGCTCAGAGTGGGTGGTTGGCGGGTGCTCTGGTATGGTTTGCTCCTTCTTTCCTGTCAAATATCTATCATCATTATCTCCCCTCCTTTTTTGTTTCTCTCTCTTGTAACACTTCCAATGTGGGTGGTTGGCGGGTGCTCTGGTGTGGTTTGCTTCTTTTTTCCTATGAGACATCTACCGTCCTTATGTCCCCTTCTTCTTTTTTATGTTTGTTTCTCTCTTGTAACACTTCTAATCTTCTGGCGCTCATATGACCTTATACAGTTGCGAGCGCCGTAAAACTCGTACAAAAACAAAAAACACCCCCAGTCTTCGGCACTTATATGACCTTATTGTGTTGCAAGTGCCGTAAAACACATACTAAAGCAAAGCTTGCCCAGACGTGCACTTGGGCCCTGTGGTTGAGACGGTATTGCTGAAGAATGCAGGAGTTTACATTTCACTTTAACTCACAGTCAATGTTGTATTATGTAATAAATTTCCATGAATACTACTGGAACTACAGTTAAGATATCTTGCAAGTTCAGAGCTGCTCTCCCATTCGATTTTGCACATCAAATACAAATGCTGCCTCATCCAGGAATGCAAAATTGTATTTTTTGTCATCATTTGTCCATCCTCAGGTGTGGCTGTGGAGGATGCTTCAGCTGCCAAGATAGTAGTTGATAAGTTAAAGATTCCTTGAATAAAAGCATTGCCTTTTTCAAGTTCCTGAGTTATTGAACTCGACTACTACAGGATAGAGTCTAGTCCATTGAAGTTTGCTTAAAAATAAAATTCACTAGGCCCCCTTATTTTAATACTCAGAGAGACTATGTTAGAGAGATATCAAGCCTGATATATTGATATATAATTATCCAATTTTTAGTACTTCCAGTGTTATGAATTAAATAATGTTTATAGAAGGCAGGATCTTAAGTGTTACCTGCTGCAGTTTTCTTTACCTGGTAATTAATCCAGCAGTTTGTGGATTTATGTTACACCACCACACAACTGCTTCAACATTAAATGCTAAAGGTGGTCAGATGCTTTCCCCATGGTTGCTATAAATAAAACCCCAAAGTCCATCAAAGGTTCTTTACTTAAGAAAAACAGAAGGCAGTAGAGCATCCTTTTGTAGTACTTTCTTTGCAGGAATGGCTCAAACTCAAAACAAGGATACCTCGTTGTGATGGTTATCAAACAAGATGACCATGGTGACTAATTTAGTTCAGATGCCAGATCATGGCAAAACAGAAGTTGAAACAACTCTCAACCCTGAAATAGCGATCGGGTGAATGGGTTACAGTAGCTAAATTCTTAAAGAGAAATGGGACGAAAGTTTGATTTTTAAGTCTGTGATTTCATGTTAGGTGATTACCACTATATTATTCAGATTTTTCTTAAATTTTTTTACGCATTCAGACCAAAGATCTGCATCTGTCGGCACCTTTCCGTCATACACAAGGACAAATTCTTTATCTCACCTTCTAGTTTTCAGTCCTAAGTCTCATGACCCTAAGTTGAAGGGAGTTGATGTCCATCCCCCTAGTTTGTTTTACAGCAGACTTAAAATTTCTACTGTCAAGTTTGGTGTAGCATAGCAAATTCAGCAGGTCAATTTTTTCAATCACGTTTTTTGTTGAAATGGTTGAATCTGATATATCACATTCTTACCCCTGGTCAAATTTTGATGCTAATACATACCAAATATAATAGAATTTGACCCAACTTCTTCAATTCCCGAGAAATTACAAAAATAAACCAGTTGTGTGACCTCAATTTGCCCAAGGCAAAAAAAGAGACTTCATCAAATGAACATGATATGGTGTGGTAATGACACAATGGTCCCAGACAGCTACTGTCCATTATTCATGTGGATGGATGCGTGTCTTTGATCTGAATGTGCCTTTAAAATGCCCCAGTACTGTACTTGAGAATATATGTGAGGCAGTGTGGTGAAATCAGGCACTCGTCAAAATAAGGAAATCGGAGAAAAGGGCATTTTTCAGCCAGTTTTGGAATCAAATTTTTATATTTTAGCTTAACTTCTTTTATGTCCGTTTAAAACACATTTCCTTGTGAATTTTACTGAAAAACATTAATTAAAGGCACAAAATATGTCATTTTTCAGTTTTCAAAGACTCTTTGGCTCTTGGAGTTACCAAACTGTAGCGGCCATTTTCTCGCTATTTTCATCACTGAAACCAGGCGACAACACTTACTTCAATCGCAACTATCTTGATTTCTAGTTAAGATAAATGGATATAATTTCTTTGAAAGCACGGCAAATAGTTCAACTTTCGGATAATACCAATAACTCCACATGCCCAAAAATTGACGAGCGCCCGATTCCACCACGTTGTGACACATATAATTTCATGGTCTTATACTTACTTTATAATGGTTATTATGATATTGTTCTATTGACAGCCATGAATAATTTTGTTCTTGAAGCTGTTGTTCTGTTTGTTTCAGTGTATTATAAATGGAAATCCACAGACAATTTTACTTTTGAAGCAATTGTCCTGCTTTTTTAATACATTACTCAATGCACACAAGTTGTTCTGCACATGTTGACTGTATTCTAGCCATTTTACAGTTTGCCATAAAATTTACAGAATGCGTGTATGCAAAGATTGTATCCCGTGCTTTCAATAAAAGAAATTTTGAAAATGCCAAACACCAATGTTGGTTTTTTTTCAGTCTTTTTTGTCTCAACATGGTCACAATCATGGTAATCATAAAAAGGCTAAGGTGGTCTTGAGGCCAGATTTATATATGATGCAAAACCAAAGAAAGTATGAATGAATGGCTTTATAGTTGAAAATAGTTTTAAAATTATCCATAAAATGTGTGTTTGTGTGTGTGTGTGTGAAATTGCATTCTATTGCATTTTGTGATTCAAAAATCATTTATAGCTTCAGTACTTTGAGAAATCTGGTTCATATTGTTAGTGTTAGATAAAGGTAAGTCACAGAAACAAAATTTTGAGAAAAATGGCTGAAAAGCTTTAAAGTTTTCTTCTTTAATCTGGATAGAGTTCTTCTCCAAGTGATATTGATTAACCTTTTCGTAGCACGGCGCTCCACGTTGGCGCGCTGTTTTTATATTACGTTGGAACGTAGCCCTCCTCTTTGGCGCGTGCTATTTCACAACCCTGGATTCACGTACTTGTGCATGCAACAAAAAGTTTGCTTTTCATTTTTCACTTTCAAACTTTCAAAAAGTATTCAGATACCATTTTGGAATTGTTTCTTGCTGTCAGAAATTGAGTGGCTTGAACACTTTTCAATTTACAGTCGAATTTCTGAGGTCACTTTCCAGAGCGTTCCCGAGACCGTTTTCATACGATACGCTGAAAGTTGTGGCGCTAAGACGGATGCTGAGAAGACTCACTCTCAAAGGAGTCACAGATTCTATATATACATATACATAGAAAGGTCCGATGATGAAGATGATTTTGAAAGGATGAGGATACTATGCCGGTTGACTATAAAGCAGAACCGTCAAAATTTACCTAAGATTTAAGAAGCAACCAGTAGTGAATCAAGTATACGTGAGATTAGAATGCATAGACACAGATGATGAGATGATGGATGATAGGACTGACCGGTTTTTGAAATTACGATATGGCGACGGATATACTGTATAGCTGTAAAGGAGAGTATAGAAAGACAAAAAAAATGAACAAGAATAAGTGGAGGTATTAGAATATAAAATGCTGCGGGCTCGAAACACAAACAACATTCACCGCGTTTCTCAGTTTACTGGTACATGTATTTGGTGGAATCAAAGTCTCACAACCCAAACAACCGTTTGCATCAGACATTTGTATGATTTACTGGCTGGTCATTACAGAGGAGGTAATAAACTTTTATAAAACTAAAACAAAACGACAAGATGTGGAAAGGATCAATGGCAAAGATCTGCAAACCTTGGCAAGTCGTTTACGTTGCAAAACCAAGAAACCAGATAATCTTGTAGAAATGGAAGGATTCTTTGTTATCTATTTTCGTTCACATGGGTATGCTCAAGATATTGACTCTCTACGACCGCTGACCTTGAAACCCAGGTTGCACTTATCTTTCTGCTGCATAATGATGTACACGCAAAGAAAAGGGTTCTTGACAGCTCTCTCTTCTCGTTTCATATGTCAAACAGCATAGCACAAGTGCACCACGGAGAGCTTTATCATGACATAAAGATGAAGCATTTAATTTATCCCGAATCTACAGGAGAAAGTTTTTTTTTTAAACTTGTGAAAACCGTAACAGGACTTTGTATTGACGAAATCATGGTGTATTTCAAAGGACGTTCCCGATCCAAGGTTTATCTGAAGGATAAACCCACCAATGCAGAATTCAAACCTAGTGAAGAGAAAAGCAGGGTACGTCTCTGTTCTCTAGTGCATCTGTGTCAAAAGACGAATCAGCGTTTTTCTTTGCTAAAAAAACAAAACAAAAGAAAGAACCACTTTGGAATGTGTTAGGTTTGAAGGCTTGAGGGAAGTGGAAACTTAGCAGGTTTTGGAAGTGTATAAATCAGCCCTGCTTTTGAAAAGGTGCAGGAGTTCCGACTCAGGACCCACTCAACATACTACCCAATGCTACAAACAGCACAGTGGTTGAGTGAGATAATGGCATCATAAACATGAAAGGGTATTTATTGGCATCTTTTTGTGCTATAAAATCGAAACTTCTGCTTGTGCCATCTTGAGTGAGAGAAATGAAAAGCTGAAGAGGCCAACGGGCTTGGGTACAATTGGTTCTATACATGTAATATGAGGAACAAACAAAATAGTACGCTTTCTAATTGGCCACAGAAACTTAATGGAAGATTGTTTTCCTCCTAGACTACAGAGATTTAGACAGGTTTGCTTTGTCGGTGGATTGCCCGATTTTGTGAGTTTGAAAGAGGAACTGTCAATGTCATTGGGACAAGTGCAGGTGACCAAAAGGGGCCTAGGAAAATGGCTCTTTTTCTCCAAAACTCGACCTGGCAGATATTGCAATAAGACTCCATTATTACTGGCTCCCTTCCGAATTGGAAAAACTTATTGTACCCTAAGTAGAGTCTTTGAAGTGCCACCTAGTTGCTTTACTTTGAGTCAGACTATACTATCGAAGGCTTTCCAGTCTACTCTGTAATAATGTTTGTTCTTCAATTTTTTTGTTCTGTTTCCCTTTCTTCTCTCCTACACTCATCTTTGCAAAATTCAGGATTGGCAAACCCAGAGAATTTTTTGAAGGAACACAGAAAAACAATCATTATCGATTTTGACTTTAGAAAGAAGCATTAGCAAATTGTGTTCCGGTGGATCAACATTCATGAATCTTAACTCATGTCTCTTTACGTGCAATAGCAAAGAGTTTCGCGATATCACCACTAATGTCAGGAGAGAGAGAGGAGAGAGAGAGAGAGAGGCAGAGAGACATAGGTAGAGAGAGGAGAGAACAGACATTATTATTTGGTATAGAAGTTAGACGCTTCGCTCCCGCTTGCTGAATAGATTACCCGAATTCTATTCCTGAGTGGGGAGAAAATTTCTATCAAGTACCTCGGTCTTTCTTCTGAGATGTTGGATTCCTTTTAACCCTCGTTGACCCTGACAGGCATGGTCGGAAGCCCGCCTTCTTAAAGATTTAAATAATGTCGGGGGGGGGGGGGGGTGTAAAGCTTCTACAGTTACATTTCAAGAGAGAGAGAGACAGACAGACAGACAGACAGAGATAGGGTAGGGGGAAGAGGAAGAGGGAGAGAGAGAGAGAGAACCTTGTCTCTCTTTCAACTTTTCAAACGTAGGAACTTCAAGTCAAGGAACATAATTCCGGTTTCAAAGAGAGGAGAAATGCCTTTTCGTTATTCACTTTATTAACAAAACATGTCCGGCGTAGATAATTCAGGTGAACAAATTTCATACTTTTCCTTCTTCCTTCCTTTTTTTTTTTGTTTGGTAAGTATCTTACGGCGCTCGCAGATGCACAAGGTCTTTGGCGCGCAGGACACATTTTCAGTTTGGTAGGAATTAATTTTGAATCTTGCCCAGGGAGTGGCTGCAGCCTCCTCTTATCGATTTTAGGATCACCAATGGATCTTTAACGTGCACAACCTGCACACGGGATCCCTGAGTATTTTTCGTCCTTATCTGAGAAGACTAGGTGTTAGATCTTACCTACCCTGCGATCAGGGGTGTGGCTGAAAGACAGCAGTAAGAAAGAGCCAAGGAGAAGCAGTAGAAAGGCAGCAGAAAGAGTCCAAGAGGAGTAGGCAAAGGGGTAGAGCGTGGATAGGGCAGAAAGTGGAGACAAAATCAGACGCAAGAACAAGATCAGAGTAGGAAAGAAGGCGAAAGGATACTTTTTTTCAGAGAAGAACATTTTCCGTCGCCGTCAGGTTTCGAACACGGGATCTAAAAAATGAGAGGAGAACCCGCATTTTCCTTCAGGCGGAAGTTGATGAAGTGTTGGAACTACTTGGTAACATCTAGATTTATTCTTGAGAAAACGCCCAGCAGGAACAGAGGGCAAATGTACTCAAGCTGGTGGATGGGATCATGGGGTCCAGTAAATCTGACACTATTACTTTGCAACATTCCTAACTATGAAAGGGGCATGTTCTCAAAGAGTGTCAGTAGGTTGAAAACAACACCATGGAAACAGAACCTTTAGGTGGCAGTAGGAAATGCGTGCAGAGCTGGGATGTCAGCAGTGAACAGAAAATGCCAAAAGAAAATGACATTGCACTGGGGCTCAAATTGCAAAGTTGCACTCTACCCTGGCTGCTTTGAGGTGTACAACTCAACTCTGAACTGAAAGAAGCAGCTGACTCACCCGATGTTTGAGTATATAGAGCTGTTCATAAAGCTGCTCACAAAAGCACATTTTTCACTCGTCAGGTTGAATTTTCTATTGATTTTAGTTGAATTATATTTATCATGGATCACAACTGTCTGAGCAGGCGCTAAGATCATTGAAGAAACACCATTGAACTGTTTAATGTGTGTATCGGGGTTTAGAATTTGTTTTGAAAACTTCTCTTTTTTTCAGCCCCATACGCTCTTTAGTACAGTTGAAAACTTTTGTCAAAGAAAGTGAATGTGGTCCTAAAAGCCGCACAATGTGAAAAGGTTAATTAGTCAGCTGTTTCGTTTCCGAAAACCCTTAACAGTTACTACTCAAAGTGCTACTTAAAAAGCATTTTAAGACAATTTACAGTTTCAAAGTGTCATTGAAAGGTTTTTAAGGCAAATTCAAGATCAAACAGAAATAGAAATTTCACAAAATAACTTTGCTCTTGAAGTGTCATAAGGTACGTATGTGTAGAGTGTCCCTTCCTTTGCTCTGTCAATATATTTGTGTGCACTGCACATCATGAGAAAGGACATAAGCTGACCTAAATTTTGATAGGAAATGTGATTATATAAAGGAGTGGAGTTCTATGAATGAATTGTAGAAACTGTCGTCAATGACAATGCAGAAATTTTGAAGAACGGTTTTTGCTCTGCTCATGAAGTGTTGTGGGGTACAAATGTGCAAACCTCTCATCCTTTGGCCTTTAGTGTTTGGACACATTCATTTGCAATCCATAGCCGGAGATAGGTCACAAGATGATTTAATTTTGGAATGCACGGTGATGGTTTTAAAAAAAAATGAATGAATCAGAAAAACTTCCTACGACGTAGGCTCT